TACACATATTCATTTAAAACACTACTAAAAATACAGATATTTATATAAAACACTACTAATAATACAGATATTCATGTAAATTAGGGGTGTAAATCACCAGCTTTATCACGATACAATATTACATGGATATGTTTGGATGACAATCTGATATTTCTCTATCACAAAGTCTGTCACGATAAGATTTATATTCAGTTCATTTCACCTGTCTGTGATCGATATAATGCAGGATCATATGACCATCTAACACTATGACTGTTAGATGGACATATGGTATCAATTCCCATCAAGCAGATCATGATGATACAGATTGATATTTTCATTTTGTCTCAATATAATTGAATGATTAACCATTCAAATCGATGTATCAGAAMGATGGGGCGTAAGGAGGTGGTTGAAGTCTGATCATCTTGAATGGGGGATCTGGACCATCATGTCTAAACTCCCATGGGGTTGGTCAGACCTGTAGCCTCTGGTCTCTCTTCCAGGTCAGTCCAACTCCCAGAGTTCTTCTTCTGGAGGCCTTTTATGGCGGCTCTCATAAACAGCTGATTGACCTACTGAAGGAAGACATTAAAGACTGCTCTGTCTTCACACTGCCTGCAAAAAAATGGCACTGGAGGGCGAGAACAGCAGCGCTGTACTTCAGCCAGGTCATTCCGACCTGTCCCTCATACAGGTGAGTGTCTAAGCTTCAGATGCCAACATTCACTTCTTTATCCTTAAAAACAAAACTAAAGAAGGATTAATGGATGGATCAGGGCCTCATGTATCAACGCACAAAAAGCTTGCATACGTCCTTTTCCACGCAACTCCAGATGTATGAAGACTGAAATGAAGGTGAAACTGTGCAGCCTCACACACTTCAAGGCTGGAGTCACACGGTTCTGTGGTTCTGGTTCCATCAGAGACACTTAGAGGTGGTTCTGAGAAACTGTTTGTGATGTGAACATGATTACTGTTCACAGCACACACTAGTGTTCAGACTGAACATAGTGTGTTCAGACTGAACACACTATGTTCAGACTGAATGCACTAGTGTTCAGTCTGAACACTAGTGCATTCAGTCTGAACATAGTGCATTCAGTCTGAACACTAGTGCATTCAGTCTGAACATAGTGTGTTCAGTCTGAACACTAGTGTTCAGTCTGAACATAGTGTGTTCAGTCTGAACATAGTGTGTTCAGTCTGAACATAGTGTGTTCAGTCTGAACATAGTGTGTTCAGTCTGAACACACTATGTTCAGTCTGAACACTAGTGTGTTCAGACTGAACACACTAGTGTGTTCAGACTGAACACACTAGTGTTCAGACCAGAACAAGCAGCAGCGGCGAGGTGTGGGAGTAGTGTCTGTCTTCGGCAGGTGAATAACGATAAAATCAAAGAAAATGGCTTTGATTTATTTACTAAAGAGCAAACGAACGTTGAGCACAGCAGATAATTAACTCACCAGATGATTTAGAGGCGATTTGTTCGGTTATTTTCGTCTCTCCAGAAGCTGCCAGCTGACAGACTTKTTTTTGGTCCAGAGCAGCTGATCGACATCAGTGCTGATATATCCTTCCAGAAAACCCAACTGCACACGGTCGATTTCAGGTAAAGATCTCCAGTCCGTCTGTTTCGGTTTTCAGTGGGAGACGCGTCAAGCAGCGAAAAGTTCAGATATTTGAACTCTGGCGACGGCAGCTTCCACAGTAACGCATACATGGAAAACGCTCTGCGCCCCTTCCGCCTTCCTTGCGCACCGCCCAAAACGTACGACGYGACACACGACACCTAGAGGCGTGTCCACCATAGACATTGCATGAAAACCGGCCGCTCCTGCCGCTCAAAACGCATTCGGTGTGAACGTAGCATCAGTGGTATGCAGAGGGTGAGCTGGACAATCAGTCTCACCACTGGTGCCTGTGCCTGTTCCCAAATGTTGCAGGGAGACATTCAGGGTTCTGGGCAGGAGTTGGGGTGGAACTGGTACTGCTTACTCTCAAGCGAGTGGGGGGCGGTGTACCAGCCACCTCCCCTTGTCCACCCTTTACACCTTAAAACAACATGTATCAACACCATATTTGGGTTGGGGGGCAGGGGGGTCCTGTAGACCTTGTGATCTCCTTTAGTCCCCTATGTGTTTGTGTCAGGATATCTGTGTGTTGATTCTTTAGCTTTGTGTTTCTTTCTGCAGAGTCCTGTTCAGCAGCTCGGTTCTGAATCTGTGTGAGCTTGTGGCTCTCAGACCTGATCTGGCTTCTTTAAAAAAGGTCCTGTACTTCCATGAGAACCAGCTGGTTTATCCAGTTCGCAAAGACCAAGACAGGGACTTCCAGTATGGATACAACCAGGTGCTCTCATGGTATTCAACCATCTCTTGGTATTTGTGTGTGTGTGGTGTGTGTGAATGTGTTTTCTAGCATTTGTTATATTGTAAGGCCCATTTTTTCCTACACATGCTGCCTTGCGAGGACCCATTACTACCACATCAATTCAAATGCTGTTTTTGGGTTGAAGGGATTAGGATTAGGACTAAGGATGTTTAGGTTTACTGACAGTTACTGACACAGATGTTTGATCCAGTTTTCAGCTCCAGTTAGTTGCTTAGGTTAGGTTGGTTCTTAGCTCTGGTTGGTTCTTAGCTCTGGTTAGTTAGTAACCCTGGTTAGTTCTTAGCCCTGGTTAGTTCTTAGCTCTGGTTAGTTAGTAACCCTGGTTAGTTCTTAGCCCTGGTTAGTTCTTAGCTCTGGTTAGTT